GAGAGTGATGACTGACTACATACTGTAATCCCTAAAGCAACCACATAAAAATAATGCAAAGAACTTTGGAGAAAATGAAAATATTCCATATCTTGATATTAATATGGGATACAAGAATGTATGCATTTGTTAAAACTCATTTGTTAAAACTCACTTAAAATCTGTATCAAATTTACATCTAAATAAAAATTTCACTGTATCAAATTTATATCTAAATAAAACAATACATATGTTGCTTTAAGAGTATGGTTCAGGTAATAATTCAATAAATATTAGCTATTATTATTATTCTGCCACAGCGCAAAACATCACTTTCAGAAATAATGTTCTGAGAGTTCCGGCAAGATGGCGGACTAGGCAGAAAGACTGCACAGACCCTCTCCAACAAAGAAAAGGGAAAAAAATTAACACAAACATAGAAGATAATCTTGGACCCCTGAACCTCTAAGGGAAGGATACAGAAGTGGACTAAACCCCAACTAGCAGAAGAATTTGTGTGAAAATACCAAAAAAGGAGACACACGGAGCTGCGGTCTGGCAGTGATCCTGAGTAATCCTGACAGCATAGATAGCTTGGAGATTCCTGAGTGGTGGTAGGACCTAAGAATTAACCTAAAAATCACCCTGCTAGCCAGGGACTGCACAAAGGACTGTGCACGGTGGCTGGGGAAAAAACAGAGAGGGTGAAGAAAAAGGTGGGCTGAACTGTGGACTTTTGCCAGTCCGGAGGATGCCGCCATTTTGAAGGTTTAAAAAGTGGCTTGACTATTGTGGATATTTAAAGAGACAGCGCTCTCACAGATATCTGGGGCTTAAGAACACTTCTGCTTTCCAGCAAGCCCAAGGACACTTGGGGCCTGCAAGACTGAAAAGGTACGACATTCTTCTTGATATTATATCCTACAACCGCTTGGTGAATGGAGGTATGGCCACCCCCCACTCCCACCTACCTTGTGGGCCTACAGGAACTCCATCACAGTCTGTGAGCTCAGATGGAGCCTGGGTGCCCTACCCTGTTCTCCACCGATTTTCTGTTATCTTTTTTCTCTTTTTTATTTTTATTTTTTCTTTTTCGGTTTCTTTTTCCGGTGATTAGTTTGCTTGTATTTGTCTGTTTTAAAACAACTAAAATTATTAATACTTTTGTCCTTCTTACTGCTATTCTTAACCTTCCCCTACCAGGTCCTAGATTTCAGCATTTTTTATTTTTCCCTGTGCCTGGTTGAAATTCCCCTCCACCCAAATTTAAGGATATTTTTTTATCTTTTTTTTTTCCCCTTTTTTTCTCATGACTAAGCCCATTCCTGTTTCTCTTTTTGCATTTTTCCTATTTTGTTCTTCATTTATTATTCTCCTTCTCTACTTTTTTTTTTTCTTAGTGCCCTATCCCCAGATATTGCAGGTTTCCTTGTTTTTTTTCATTTTTTCCCTTTTTTCTTTTTTTGGTTACTGTTCCTGTATGATTACATGGGGTGTTTTTCAACCATGGGCTTTTAGTTTTTTGATGGTTATTCAATTGTAATTTGTGTCTAACTGACTGGGCGAAACAACAGTCCTCATAAGACACAACTACACCTACACCTCCTGCGACTTCACTTACTGAGCGAGAGCCACTTCCTCTTCTCCACCAACGGGCCAATGATAAAAAACCACCAAAGAACTTCTAAATGGTGAGGAAGTTAAGAGAGACGCAAGATAGAATGGACTGTTGTAACAAGTTCTGTACCTCACACCACACACAAAAACGAACTCCAGATGGATCAAAGACTTAAATGTGAAACCTAAAACTATACAGTTCCTCAAGGAAAAT